TCTCATTCTCTCTCTCTCAAATAAATAAATAAAATCTTTTAAAAAAATCTTTAAAAAAAGAAAAGAAAGAAAAAAAGAAACAAACAAATTTATGCTCTTGCAGTCCTGGAAGTCAAAACCAAAAATAAGCCTCACTGGGCTAAAATCAAGATGACTCTGCAAGAAACAAGAGAGCATGAATTCCTCCTGCCTAGATACATGATTCTGGGTCAACATTTTTTCTCCACAAAAATGCATGTCATTCTAAACTCTACTCAGTACCTGAACAGGATCTTCATTATAGTCATTTGTTTTGAAAGATTTGTTTATTTTTTTGAGAGAGAGAGCAAGGGGGAGCAGAGGGATAGGGATGGGGACTTCTCCAAAGAAGACATAAAAGTGGCCAACAGACACATGAAAAAATGCTTCACATCACTGGACATCAGGGAAACCCAAATCAAAACCACAATGAGATACCACCTCACATGGGTCACAATGGCTAAAATTAACAAGTCAGGAAACAATAGATGTTGGCAAGAATGTGGAGAACAGGGAACCCTTTTAGACTGTTGGTGAGAATGCAAGCTGGTGCAGCCACTCAGGAAAATGATACAGAGGTTCCTCGAAAAATTGAAAATAGAGCTACCCTATATACCCACTACTGGGTATATACCCCAAAGATACAAATGTAGTCATTCAAAGGGGCACATGCATCACAATGTTTACAGCAGCATTGTCCACAATAACCAAACTATGTGGAGAGCCCAGATGTCCATCGATAGATGAATGGATAAAGAATATGTGAGATATAGTATTACACACACACACACACACACACACACAGGAATACTACTCAGCCAACAAAAAATGAAATCTTGCCATTTGCAATGATGTGGATGGAACTAGAGGGTATTATGCTAAGCGAAATAAGTCAATCAGAGAAAGACAATTATCATATGATCTCATGGATACATGGAATTTAAGAAACAAAACAGAGGAAAACAGGGGAAGAGAGGAAAACATAAAACAAGACGAAACCAGAGAGGGAGACAAATCATAAGAGACTCTTAATCATAGGAAACAAACTAAGGGTTGCTGGAGGGAAAGGAGGTGGGGGGATGGGGTAACCAGGTGATGGACATTGGGGAGTGTATGTGCTATAATGAGCACTGGGTATTATAGAAGACTGATGAATCACTGACCTCTACCTCTGAAACCAATAATACATTATATGTTAATTAATTGAATTTAAATAAATAAGTAAATAAAAAGACTCTGAGAAAAGATTTTTTTAAATAATTTTTTAAAATTTGAGTGTGATTAACACACAATGTTACATTACTTTTGAGTGTACAACACAGTGATTCAACAAGTTTAAACATTATGCCATTCTCACAGTGTGTTGAGCTGCCATCTGTCACCACACATGCTATGATGATACCATTGACTATATTTCCAAGGCTGTGCCTTTTATTCCTGTGACTCATTCATTCCTTAACTGGAAGCCTCTATCTCCCACTCCCCTTCATCATTCTGCTTTTCACTTGTTCATTTACTGTTTTAAAAACCAGTACCAAGCTATTCTTACAGTCAAACAAAATAATTACCCAAACAGTGATACAAGGCAAGCTGTCGACATCATATTTTCTCCCCTAAAAATGTAAAATTGCATCCAAATTCTAGAAGTTAAGTCTCCTATGAGCATGTAATCATGGGCCTCCATTTTAATACTATCATTTTGTATCCTGTTTTTAAAGAAACAAAAAATCAGTTCGAAAATCTTTGTGGAAGAAAAGTGGGGAGAAAGATCTAATAAGCTCAGGTGGCCCCTAGAAATGGTGAGGAGGAGCAAACGTCCTTGGTTCTGGCAACACTCCAACCCCAGTTACAACACCTTGATGCCCAGAACAATAAAGCAGCAAAGAGCAATTTGTCCAAAAGAAACAGTACATTATCAAGACATCTGACTGAACATCCCACCAGAATAACAAGCAAAAGGAAGACACCCACAATTCACAAAAGGAAATAACACACAGTTTGACAAAAGTGGAGGATTTTAAGATTATTTGCTAAAAGAACTTTTCTAAATGATATAAAATGCAAAACTTTTATAATAAGGAAGTCATGTTTTCAATTTTGGACCTAAGCATGTTTGCTATTTGTACTTGGAGAACCAACCAAACTATTCTAAATGTTAGTATATTCTCTCAAATAGTAGGGCTAGAACTGTCAATCCTCCTAACGTGGTTGACAGATTTAGTGAATATATGGAATGACCTTAGCATAGTTTCCTCCTCTTGATAATGTGTGCTTATCACTGGTGATGAGATTTGGCTGAGTTTTTTCTTCTCTCCAATGTCAACACTTCGCCACCTCTGGTTCCCCAGTTCCACAGCCTTCTTTCAATCCCTTGTCATCTCTACACCTACCAAAGGCTGGCACCCTCTAGCCAATATTCACATTTACCTAGAGAGATCTTTATTGCATTTAATATACTGTCCAATTCCCCAACATAACCCCTTCCTGGTGACTCCCTGCTGGAGACTGAACCCCAAATTCCATAGCTTCCAACCCTTGGCTTGCCTCCCCTAATCGACCCACCAGCTTCTCACTCCCGCAGCCTCACACACATTGATTTCACAGTGAACTTGCATTGTAGCTTCACCTGAAGCCACAGTCCTAAGGCTCAGAGCCTCCATACACCTGCTGCCCTCTGTTAGGAGTCACCCACTGGTCTATTTGGGCTGATTCACCTCCTGTCTATCTTCACTATCCCATCACCTCTTTCAGCCTATAAGGAGTGATTACCTTCATGAATCTTTGTTTTTGTTTGTTTGTTTGTTTGTTTGTTTGTTTTTTAACATTCCCACAGAAAAAGGACACTTTCTCTTGCAATGATATAGATGTAGGGGTTACCACTGTGTACATTTTCCAAATTCTATGTATGTTTCCCTGCTTGACTGTGAGTGCATGTGGCCTGTTATACATACTCCCACCCTTTACCCCCAGATGTAGTTTGGTTGGGAATAGTAGGAATAAATATATTGTGTCGTATGTTTAAGTGAAATAAGTCAGTCAGAGAAAGACAAATATCATATGATTTCATTCATATGTGGAATTTAAGAAACAAAACAGATGAACATAGGGGAAGGGAAGGAAAAATAAAATAAGATGAAAATTCCCTCTGCTCAGCGGGGAGCCTGCTTCTTCTTCTCCCTCTGCCTGCCTCTCTACCTACATGTGCTCTCTCTCTCTGACAAATAAGTAAATAAAATCTTTTTTAAAAAAAGATGAAAATTGACAGGGAGGCAACCCCTAAGAGATGCTGAACTCTAGGAAACAAACTGAGGGTTGCTGGAGGGGAGGTCAGTGGGGGGAAGAGATAATTGGGCGATGGGCATTAAGGAAAGCACTTGATGTAATGAGCACTGGGTATTATATGCAACTGATGAATCATTAAATTCTACCTCTGAAACTAACTTTATAAAATTGTGAAATTAGCTTAAGCCTAAATTGGTTTCAAGACAGGAGAATGAGAAAACACAAATCCTATAAAATAAAAAGCTGTTATATTATAAAAGTGGATTCAAAATCAATAAGAAGGGGTGCCTGGGTTACTCAGTGGGCTAATCATCCAACTCTTGATCTCGGCTCAGGTCTTGATCTCAGGGTTGTGAGTTCAATCTCCACCTTAGGATCCGCACTGGGCATGGAGCCTACTAAAAACAAAGAAAAGAACCCACCAAATTTCTTTTCTACTCGAAAGCTTTCATTAAATCAATACATTTTTATTTTCTGGTCCTGACTGTATTTAACAACCCACCCATCTGTTTTCCACTCAACAAATATTCACTGAGCATAAACTCCATCCTGAGAACTGTACTAGGCACTGCAATTTCAAAGATAGGTAAAAGACAGTTCTGAAATTCAAGGAATCTATAATGTGGATGAATAGAGAAATTTATTTTTTTTAAAGATTTTATTGATTTATTTGACAGGGAGAGACACAGTGAGAGAGGGAACCCAAGCAGGGGGAGTGAGAAGCAGTCTTCCCACCAAGCAGGGAGCCTGATGTGGGGCTCGATCCGAGGACCCCAGGATCATGACCTGAGCCAAAGGTAGACGCTTAACAACTAAGCCACCCAGGAGCCCCTGAATAGAGAAATTTAGTAAAGCTGATGTCACTGGAAGGAAAGTGAATCAGATCAGGATAAAAAGGAGGGGGAGTCAAATCTTTGAGTTGATTTTATTTACGTGACCCGAGAAAACATCTCTGCAAATGAGTTTTCGGGACATTTCCAGAATAGGCACACATCCCATCACTCTGAAGATAGATATTAAATATGTGGGATTTAAGTTTGTTTTTTTTTTTAAGAAATCCAAACCATTACTGAAAATTACTGAGAAAATACCAGCTTGTATACATACCAAGTAAAGCGATTGGTTATAAAGTGAAAAAGGGAACCCAAGATATACCCAAGGAAAACAGAGAAAACAAGGAAGACCCAAGGAGAGAACTGCTTTAAAATATGTACACCTGGGAAAAAAATAAAAATATTGGGTGAAGGAAGCCAGGCGCTCTGGGCCTCCATATTGTGTGCCCAGCTACTCAAGAGAGTCCTATAATGGTTCTGACGCTGAGAGTCACCACCCTGCCAAGGAGCCTGCTCAGGGCCCCCTTCACTTCCTTGTTCCTCAAGCTGTAGATGAAGGGGTTCAGCATGGGGGTGACAATGGTGTACATCACCGAGGCCACCAGACTCGTCCTGGAGGATGAAGTTGCTGCAGAACTGAGGTAGACCCCAAGCCCTGTGCCATAGAACAAGGAGACCACCGAGAGGTGAGACCCACACGTGGAAAAGGCTTTGTACTTGCCCCTGGCTGATGAAATTCTCAGGATGGAGGAGAAAATCTGAGAATAAGAAAAGAGGATCCCAGAGAGAGGAAAAATACCTAGGACAATAGTCACAAAATATACCACTAAGTTATTGATGAAGGTGTCAGAACAAGCGAGCTTCAGGACTTCAGGAAGATGGCAAAAAAAGTGTGGAATTTCCATGTTTGTGCAGAAGGACAGCTTCAAAAGGGTCAAGGTCTCGAGCAGAGAGCCCATGACACTGATGCACCAGGATCCCAAGGCCAGCATCCCACAGAACTGGGGGTTCATGATGACTGAGTAGTGCAGAGGGTGACAGATGGCCACAAAGCGGTCATAGGCCATCACGGTCAGGAGTAAATTGTCCACGCATCCAAACACAAAGAAAAAAAATGTCTGGCTGAGGCAGCCTGCATAGGTGATAACTTTTCTCTGAGTCTGGATGTTCAGCAGCATCTTGGGGACGGTGGTGGAGGTGAAACAGATGTCAGCAAAAGGACAGGTTGGAGAGGAAGAAGTACATGGGTATGTGGAGTTGGGAGTCTGAGCAGATGGCCAGGATGATGAGCAGGTTCCCAGTGAATGCGACCAAGTATATGCACAGGAACAGCCCAAAGAGCAGGCACTGAATCTCCGACTTTGCTGAAAATCCCAAGAGGAGAAATTGTGAAGCATGTGTTTGATTTCCTGATTCCATATGGGTGATATAACTAGAAGGAACAAGGAAAAAATCAGCATTCAATGACCACCACAGTGACAGCACAGAAATGTGATTGTCTTTAATTTCCAGTGAATGGACTAATAAAGTACTACCCTGCTTTTGCCTCAGTTGGGGAATTTGAAATGCCTCCATCCTTCCCTTGGCTGCCACTACCGTCTGGAAATGTAGTCCTAGTTCCAGAGCAGTCATTTCCTTTATAGCCCAGCTACTCAGAGTGTGGTCCGTGGACCAGCAGGAAAAACATCGCCCAGAGCTTCTTTGAATGCAGAGTCCCAGGCCACATTCAGACTTGCTGAATCCAAATACACATTGTGACAAGATCACGGTGGTTTCCCCTGCTCATTCATGACTGAATAGTGCTGGTCTAGATCATCTGTGGGTTTCAATTCTTCATCTTTTATCTCCTAATTTTTATTTTCCTCTACACCTTCCCTCAAACAACCTTACTTCATATGTAGGCCAAAATAGGAAGTTGATAATTAGGGTGTTTTCATGCCATGTAGGTGGAGTTAATAATTTTCATATATTGGTCTTAATTGTTCTGAACACTGTGCATGAATCCTATATTTAGTTTTTCAAAGCAAATATCAATAACTTTCACAATGCTTTGCATTGCTTACATGACCAGATTACATTATTTTGCATGTTCATTTTGTGACACTGTTCTTTGACATTGGAACATCTACCAGCCATTGTGCCTTCTTTCTTTCATTTTTGAGTAGAATTTCTTTAAATATCATATTTAGAAGTAAATAAGCACCACATAATATGTTGATGGTATACTTGGGCATGTTTTGTTTTTAATACTAGGATTCCAAATCCTGCACATTTCATTACTCCAAGTCAAGGTTCTTCACACTCTGCAGGGCTGCCTCAGGCAGTGCTTCACAAATAAGAGGAAAGGCTAACATTGGAATAAAGCAGAACCCAAGAGGTGAGCAGACATGAGGGAGGGTCAGTTCTTGCTGCAGGAGGACAGGGTCCCTGCAATGATGCTCTGAGAACAGAAGAAAGAAGAGCTGAGAAGGAATGAGGAGCAAGAATCCTTTTCAGACATGAAATGTACAAAATTTGGAATCAATCCCATTTCACTAACTCATCAACCTATTTCCCCAGAAGACATGGTTAATAAAAGCTCTCCTTCCCTTCACACCATTTTCCCAGAGTACTTACTGGACTGCTCTGGCTTCCCCCGATGCCTCACTCAATGACTCTACAGGTCCTTCCTTCCAAGAATGATTGATGCAGAAAGGACAAAAATTGGGGGTCAGGCACTGGTTCTTTGGAGTGGTTGGACATCTCAGAGAGGCACGGAGAGAATGCTCTTAGCCTGTGGCTGATGAGCAGCAGGTGACCCCTGCAGAGGGGGATTCAGGGACTGAACTTCAGAACTCCTTATTAAATAAATTCACTTCATGTTGCTCGATTCTCTAAGCAATTAAGCTCTCCTAAAGCCAAGGGACCATAAATAAAGGAAAATTTTCTGCCACTTCAGTCCCCAGGTGCATATTCTCTTTCTACCAATGGGTCCATCACCCCTGGAATGGACATTTCTCCAATGTATATAACCACTCATGCAGGCACATCAAAAAGATCACGCTGTAAGACTGTTGAATCACAGACCTGTACCTCTGAAACAAATACAACATTATATGTTTAAAAAAAGAAGAAGAAGAAGATAGCAGGAGGGGAAGAATAAAGGGGGGGAAATCGGAGGGGGAGATGAACCATGAGAGACAATGGACTTTGAGAAACAAACTGAGGGTTCTAGAGGGGAGGGGGTAGGGGGATGGGTTAGCCTGGTGATGGGTATTAAAGAGGGCACGTTCTGCATGGAGCACTGGGTGTTATACGAAAACAATGAATCATGGAACACCACATCAAAAACCAATGATGTAATGTATGGTGACTAACATAACATAATAAAAAATAATCATGCTGTGAGCCTCTGAGCTGCTTCTCCAGTGTCTGACTCAGAGATATAGTATGTCACCTGACCACATCCATCCCAACTAGGATCCTCCCTGGAACTTCATTCTGACTTCTATTTTGAAAACTTCAAAGACACAGATGTAGTGAAAAGAAGGGCCATATGCACCCCAATGTTCATAGCAACAATGTCCGCAATAGCCAAACTGTGGAAAGAGCCGAGATGCCCTTCAACAGATGAATGGATAAAGAAGATGTGGTCCATATATACAATGGAATATCACTCAGCCATCAGAAAGGATGAATACCCAACTTTTACATCAACATGGATGGGACTGGAGGAGATTATGCTAAGTGAAATAAGTCAAGCAGAGAAAGTCAATTATCATATGGTTTCACTTATTTGTGGAACATAAGGAATAGCATGGAGGACATTAGGAGAAGGAAGGGAAAAATGGGGGGCGGGAATTGGAAGGAAAGATGAACCATGAGAGACTATGGACTCTGAGAAACAAACAGGGTTTTAAAGGGGAGGAGGGAGGGGGGATTGGTTAGCCTGGTGATGGGTATTAAGGAGGGCACGTACTGCATGGAGCACTGGGTGTTATACGAAAACAATGGATCGTGGATCACCACATCAAAAACCAATGATGTATTGTATGGTGACTAACATAACATAATAAAATTTAAAAAAAAACAAAACTTCAGACAGATTCTGAAGAAAATGCCTGTATCATTGTATCTGGTGGATGGTAAATTTTTTGGATACAGAGCTAGAGTTTCCTTTATACATGTTCCCCAAATCCAATTATTCAAGTTTTTCATTTGGGGTAAGTTTATTCACGTCTTTAAATTCATTCACATCATTCACATCACATCTTTCATCTGGGGTAAATTCATCACATCAAATTTCTTGCTATATACTCAGGTAGGCTACTCAGAGCATTCCTTTCCAATGGGAACGAGTACTTTGTGTGTTTTTTGTGGGTTTTTTTTTGTTTGTTTATTTGAGTATAGTTGACACAATGTTACATTAATTTTAGGTGTACAACATAGTGATTTGACAAGTTTATACACTATGCTACCATCTGTCCTGATACATAACTCTTACAATATAATTGACTGTATTCCTTACACTGTGCCTTTTATTCTCATAACTTATCCATCCCATAACAGGAAGCCTGTACTTCCCTCTCCCCTCTACCCACTCTGCCCATCCCGCCACACTCCTCTTCTCTAGAAACCATCAGTTTGTTCTCTGTATTTATAGGTCTGATTCTGCTTTTTGCTCATTCATTTTTTTAGATTCCACTTATGAGTGGAATTGCATGGTAATTGTCTTACTCAGTCTGATTTAATTCACTTAGCATAATATCTTCTAGGTCCATAAATGTTGTCTCAAATGGCAGGATCTCATCTTTTTTTTTATGGCTGAGAAATACTCGTGCGTGTGTGTGTGTGTGTGTGTGTGTGTGTGAGTGTGTACCACATTTTCCTTGTCCATTTGTCTATGATAGATACTTAGGTTGCTTCCATATCTTAGTTATTGTAAATAATGAAGAAGTAAACATAGGGGTGCATATATTTTGTCAAGTTAGTGTTTTTGTTTTCTTTGATAATGGTAGTGGAATTATTGGATCATGTGGTAGCTTCTATTTTTAAGTTTTGAGGAAACTTCATACTGATTCCACAGTGGCTATACCAATTTGCATTCATTCCAACAGTGTGTAAGGTTTCCTTTTTCTCCACATCCTCACCAACAATTGTTGATTCTTCTGTTTTTTATTTTAGCCATTCTGACAGGTGTGAGGTGGTATCTAATTGTGGTTTCCATTTGCATTTCCCTGATGATGTTGAGCACATTTTCATGTGTCTGTTGGCTATCTGTAGGTCTGTATTAAAAAAATATTTACTCAAGAGTCCCTGCTCATTTTTAATTAGATTATGTGGGTTTTTTTGTTGTTGAGTTGTAGGAGTTCCCTGTGTATTTTAGATATTAACCCCTTATCAGATATATCATTTGCAAATATCTTCTCCCATTCAGTAGGTTGTCCTTTTGTGTTATTGATTATTTCCTTTACTGTGTAAAAGCTTTTAATTTTGATGTTGTCCCAGTAGTTTGTTTCTGCTTTTGTTTCTCTAAGCTTAGGAGACTTTTCTAGAAAAATGTTGCTACAGCTGATGTCAGAGAAATTACTGCCTGTGTTCTCTCTAGGATTTTTATGGTTTCAGGTCTCACATTTAGGTCTTTAATCCATTTTGAGTTTATTTTTGTGTATGTAATTAGAGAATGTTCCAGTTTCAATCTTTTACATGTAGCTGTCTAGTTTTCCCAGCAACATTTATTAAGAAGATTGTCTTGTCCCTGTATTATTGCCTCTTTTGTCATAGATTAATTGACCATATAATCACAGGTTTATTTCTGGGGTCTCTAGTCTGCTCCATTGACGTATGTGTCTATTTTTGTGCCAGTACCATACTGTTTTGATTACTACAGCTTTGTACTATACCTTGAAATCTGGCATTGTGATAACTCCAGTTCTGTTCTACTTTCTCAGGATTGCTTGACTATTCAGGGTCTTCTGTGGTTCCACATGAATCTTAGTATTATATATTCTAGTTTTGTGAAAACCACTCTTGGTATTTTGATAGAGATTGCATTAAATCTGTAGATTGCTTTGGGTAATATTGACATTTTCACAATATTAATTCTTCCAATCCATGAGCATGTTATTTCTTTCCATCTGTTTGTATCATCTTCAATTCCTTTCATCAGTGTTTTAGAGGGTTTTTTGTTGTTGTTGTTGTTGTTGTTTTAAAGATTTTATTTATTTATTCGACAGAGAGAGACATAGCGAGAGCAGGAAC